ATATGTGTCTGTACAGTAGCACCACGAATGGTTACTTTGTAATTGTAGTGGTAGGATTAGTATTATATTTATAGGAAAATACTGTGATGATAATTGGTTGTTGAAAATTAATATTAAAGATAAGAAATATATTCATCTTATTTTCCTTATGCCTTGTTTTCTTCTTGTTACCGGATTGTTTTGAAATATCTTCCATTTTAATAAACAATCAATATTGTATAGGCCTATAGCACATTTGTATTTATTTAAGTGAACCAAAATAAGCAACCTTGGAGGAAGTAGAAAAACATATATACCACCCCCTAGTGGTAAGTCTGAAGGCTAAAAATGCTAAAAACCAGGTTTCATTACCTTTGGTGGCACAGTATAGTTAACCCATTGTGTAGCTTTGTTCTTAACAGCAACAAAAACAAAAAAAGAAAAGATACATTAGATGAGAAATTAATTTCAAGTTAATGTTGCTTAACTTTAGCTTATGTTTAAAACTATGCTTTTATTTTTTTACTGCTGCCAAGCAGTGAAACTGAACTGTTAAACCATGCAGTTTTATAACTAATATTTTAAACTGATATGTAATAAGTAGCCTAAAGATTCACTCATTTATTAACATTGTTACCAGTACAGGAAATAAAACTCTCACTTGAAACTTATAAAGATAGGGAACTGTAATTAATAAATTGCTCATTCACTTTGGTTTTTTTACACGAATCCATTAGATTCATTCATAACTGAAAACACAAATTAATCAAGATGAAATGGTTGTGTCATTAAATATTCTAGTTATGTGACAGTAGATTTATTTCTGTATAACATCTGACTGTTTGATGTTATTCACAGGAAGACTTAAGAACTGATAGAAAAAATTGTTTTTGAGTATTTTTCCTATGATATTTTTTTGTAGTCTACTTGACATTTTCAGTTACAATGATCAGATTGATGCAGGTTTGAGGAGAAGGCTTGGTGGGGAGTTATGCTTGGAAGTCCCCAAACTCCAGGCTGATTTTCCTCTGATTTTTTAACATGGTCCACTCACATATTATTATTATTACTAGTAATAATTCCATTTGTGGAAATAAAGATTGTAAAAAAAAATGTCAACGAACAATAATACTTCACTGTAATACACCTTTAAATTGATTTGCCATTACCAACTGAACAGTTTTTGTGTTTGCTGTTAGATATAAAAAACGAAAGAGAATAAACAACAATAATATTGATACTTTGTATTGGTTTGGAAGCCAGCTGAATACAGAAAAGATAAACTCATATTCTCTAACTATGTCAAAGCAAAAATTTTATTGCGGTAGAATGAAGTGATTCTTCTCAAAGATACAATGTTTTTTATGATCACTGACATCCTTATTCAAAACCCAACAACTACCTGTTTCAGTTTAAATTATAATAAATGTTTCCTCTTTACTTTTACACAGTTATTGATGTTAAACCAAACAGCTGGAAAATGAATACACTTTATACAGCTCTGAAGATGTTAATGACACTAAAGCTGGGTTTTGATATTCATGGTGGTCACAACAAGGTTGCCCATTGTGTAGCTCTGCACTTAACAACAAATAAAATAGATTGCACAATTTTTTTATGATGTACTACTTAAGGGTTACTCAGATTTGAGCAACTCTACACTGTCTGTCTGAATATGCACATCAGATTTGAAAAATTAAAGAACTAGATTAATTAATTTGCAATATTTTATATATTTTTAACATTTACAAGTGGCCTATTGGTCAAGAATGACAAATAATTACAGGGGTCAAAGCTAAAGTTTTTGTATCTTAGTATGAAAATAAGTATTTATTATTTTTTCTTCCTAACTGAAAGCTTAAATGTATAACTAATATTTAGTCATGTCATTTAGTGCTTTCAGTTTTCCAAAATAGAGCATTCATGCTACTAAATAGCAGCTTTGCAATTACCAAATTAAAACTTTCATAAACTACTGGTAGATTGAACCTTATGCTTTTTTTAGGTAAAAGTGAGCCTGTTATTTGCCTCATGGGACAGGATGTGCTTATTATACTTTTGAATGTTTCATAATTTAAAGTTTAAGTGAGTTATAAAGTTTCTTAAAAACACCAAAAAAAATCATGGTCAACACTATTTTCTATAAATAACAAATACATTAGAATAGCACATAATTTTTAAAGTTGCAGAAATAAACTGCTCACAAAATTACTTGAAATTATCACAGTTTTTGTTATCCTTTTATAAGTTTATAAAGACATTGGAATAATTGCTTGTAATATCTGTAATCAGGCCATTATGGTGTCTAGAAGCTTGGTAATCCAGCATAAAAGTGTATATTGTGGTAAATTTTGTGTTGTCATGTCTCTAAACATTAATTGTGTGCAAATTAATATTTAAAATTTAAAACCATTCAGTTTATTAAGAGAGAAAATGTTCATAAATACTTCATTAGGACATTATAATAATTTTCAGCTGACTTTTTTAGTTCTGTATATGTGAATATTGATAGTTTTACAAGTTTTGTTTTTTATAATATTTACTGAAACTATTATATATTTGGTCTGAGGAGAATATAATTTCACTATTGAAAGATGATTCATAGTAACTTGAAGTTTGCATAACTAGACTTGTAAGTGCATATGACACATCTGTACAATAATTACAAATTCATATATACTTTTTAATGCTTCATAAAATGTGAGAATTCTAAATTTTTTAATGGTAATTAAAAATATGTATCTTTATTAATATTTTCTTACAGGTTCAGGTAACTGTAGTACATCTGACAAAGATACTCCTGTTACTGTATCATATGGTTTAAATGGATGTTCTGATTGGAGGACTTTAGAGACTATTCAGTAGGTTTTGAAGAAATGAACAATTTATGCTTTTTCCTGTATTTGTTCACTTGCTTGTATAATATGAAAACAACAAGAAAATAATGTCAATAATATTTGAGAATATTTGATAACCTAAAACATTAGAGTAGTTTATTTTTTGAGCTGTTATAGTGTAATTTAAAATTTTCAACAGTTTTATAATAAGTTAGAATTATAAATAATTATATTGCAAAAATACAAATTTGTGTTTATTTCAACTGAACATCTTTAAAGAAAAAAAAAGTTTTTATACATCTACACTGTATATGCATTTGGTTTGTTTGGAAAATATTTGCATAATGTGTATATAATATCTGTATTTTGACTGAATTCATTTCCAAATATTATTTGGTTTTTATTTAGCCCAGCCAGTCAGATAGAAACAACTGTCAATATCATCTGTTTACCACCAGAAGCCAGGACAAATGATGTATGCTTCCGCTGGCAACAACTTTCAGCATCACCCAGCAGTAGCATACAGGGGTGTTGGGCTGTTGATAATCTGGTTATCAGTAATGCAGCAGATAGACCAAAATACTTAGAAGAAGATTTTGATCCTATAGATCCAGGACACTGGCTGTTTTTTCCAGGAGGGCATGTCCGGGTGAGTTTTTGAAATTTACATCTGTAGTTTACTTTCATTTTAAAAGCTTCATTGTTTGATTTATTGATATTATTATGTTTGCTTAACTTTTATGCAAAATATTTGTACACAACACAACAGCCTGGATGATAAATTGATAATACTATGCTACAAATAATAAATATTCCCGCACAATATAAGAAGATTTTTCATTGTTGAGGAATCAGCTATAGTGAAAATGAATTTTGTTGTAATTATACTAATGGTTTAATGCCATAGAATATAGGGAATGAATGTGAAATGATTAAGTATCAGTTTTGGGAAAATTTAAGTTGTTTTAAGTATCTCAAGAAAATTTCAATTCTGCACAATAAGCATGACAGTAATTTAAGTAAGCTGAGCATAATTAGATAAGTGGCTGTAGGTTTAAGTTGGGTATGTATTTATTTTTTGATTAAAAATACAACTTACAATTCTTACACAAACTGTTGATTTCTTAAGCGATTTATTTTGTAAATCTAATCTTTTTCAGTCCTACAATTGTTGAAAATTTGTTTTACAGAGAAAATGCCAATCAGATGGAAATGCTGTTGTGTTTCATGGAAACAAGCACAAACATCGATATATCACAAGCCAAGATTTAGCATTAGATTTTGAAATTATGAAAGAAGAGATAATCATGTCAGAAAGTTTTGATGATAATCATCTAAATAAAAAGTATGTTCAAATGATAAAAGGGTGGATATTCTTAACTTTTTTAGGTTATTATATATGTGCACTATGGCATAACTAAGTGCCAAGATTTATTTCTATTGATTTGTTTGTTTCTAATTATCTTTTGAAACTGTGATTTTTGGTATCATGTATTTTACCTTTACCAGTTTATTTTTTAATTTTTCAAACAGTAAAGTAAAAATGACAGAACCTGTTCAGTATCATGTTTTTTGTGGAGTTTAATTGTGTAAGCTTGTTAAAGAACGTATATGCATAATATTGTATTAAAATTAAAGAGATATACAAGTAACCCAAAAATAATATGTCAAATAAACTCCACAGTAAAAAAAGTAAAGTAAAAAAGAAGAAGAATAATCCTTAGCTATTAGCTTTCAGCCTTTCTAGTGTATCACTTGCAAAAAAAAGGAGCACTTACACATATAAGTATTGAAAGAAAAAAATACATCATACAAACATTGACTGCTGTGGGGATGCATAGTAATGAATTGCATTTATGAATTAAGATCTTGAAATTCAGCAGATAGAAGTTATGATAATATCTGTTTTATAGAATGAATACTAAAGTATGATAGTGACTACTGTTTGTAATTTCTGTTTAAACATTTAAAGTCATGACTCTAAAGTTTATTAACAGGTTTTTGTCTATTAATTCATATTAGTGTTCTTTAATATTAGTCTTCACTGAACATCCATTTTATCCTAAAGTATGTCAGAGCAAGTACTGAATATCAGATAATTTTAAATATGTGTTGTTTGAGTATTAGTAATAATATATTGAAATAAGTTTTCAGTTAATTTGTTTATGCCTGTTTTTTAAACAATGTTCTTATAAAATATTGGAATTTCATTTTTGTTTTCCTTTCTTTGACCAGGTGGGAGCTCATCAACAGTGAGGTCAGTCAACACTGTGGTGTTATACATCACAAAAAAGCCTTGGTGTTCTATGGAACCAAAGGTCATGCAAAAGCATGTACACCATATCTAGACACAACTTTGGTTGGAAATTTAAGATTCTATTTTTTTCATGGTAATTACAGCTTAATACATGCTAATGCTGCATTAAAGTAAATTTACTATAATAAATATTGTATTAAAGTAAATGTATCAAAAAATTATGTTAATGAATATTAGTCTGTTATTATTATTGTAAAAAATATAAAACAAAACGGAGAAAAAATTAACAAAAAAGATGGTTTTAGCTTTTAGAAGTGGCAATGATGGGATATAATATGTCAACAAAGTTTTAAGTTGTATTTTCTCAACAAATTTGTTTATATTGTCTAAGTGCGTAGTAAAACACTATGTTAAAAAATTAAGAAACTATGGTACATTAACAAGTATCTAATTTTTCTCTAATGGCATGTTTCATTATTTGATACACTAAGTAGTTTGTATGAAAACATCATGAACTCTTGTTTGCTTGAAGTGGCTGTTAAAGCCCATACAAAAAATGAATGGGTTTGAAGAGATATTTATAACTCTATAGATTAGAAATATATATTTTTGAAATTGTAGATTAAAAATAATATATACTGATAGACTAATAAAAATTCGAATCCTTTGACGTGCAAAAATTTATACTTCTTCCAATGCTGGGTGTGGCCTAGTGGTTAGTGCATTAGGTTGTGGATCAAAAGAGTCCAAGATTCTAAACTTGACGATTTTTAGCATATTACACACTCATCTGTGGACACTTTACAATTGTAAAAGTGAAACCTGTTATTTAGTTCAATAAGCTGGATAAAGCTTAAACTTTTATATTCTTTAAACGTTTACTTAAAAAGGTCATTTTATTAGAAGAAAATCTCATAAAGTGCTAATGAATAATTCTTTTTTGGTCTTTTAGGAGGTAAAAACTGTAAACCCATTTCTGGAGCAGTAGCTCACGATGCTCCAGTCATTGTATTTGCAGAAAATACTGATGGAAATTCTGTTCCTCTTACTGATGCTATTCATGTTTCTGGAGAGGTTAGAGCTATTGATGTTTGATCTTTCGGTTAAGGTGAAAAAAACCATAGTATTAAAAGCTATTATATCATGTTTTCTGGAGCAGAACATTGTTTTAGTGAAGGAAACAACAGCAGGAAAGTTAACTCTAAAATCATATGGAGTGAGTGTTAGAAAATTGTTTTATTTAGTATTGAGCATGAAGGTTTCAGTATTGGTGAATGTATGTAAATTACTGTCACAAAGGTATGAAGATTTGTAGTAAAATAATTATTATAATAATGTAAGTACATAAAATATTTGAACTGGTCTTTAAGTTACTGCTTCTTATTTGCTCTACATTACTGCTTTTTAAAATGTAAATAACCTAGAAAGTAGTCTTAGCACACTCAGCTATCACATGTTTAGGATTATGTAATACAAGGTGTTTTTATATTATTCTTTCGTAAATTATTTATTGTTAAAATAATAGAAGTTAGAAGGTTTAAAACTAGCAGTTTGACACATAGATTCTTGGTAGTTGCAATTTTATTGTCATATGTTTCATGAGGGTCCAGTATTAAGTAATTATAACCACTCAACTGCATTAATAGAATTTTCATGTTAAGTATTCAAAGTTGTTTTTATATTGAAATCAATCTAACCTAACAGCCATGATTTTTCTCTACTACAGCCTACTTAATTTCCATGTACAAATTCATTCACAGTTTTTTTACATGTTGACATTAACATAATTTTATAATTCAATGTTAAAATATTTCTTTACTAATGATTTGTAGAGTATGAAAATATACATATGGTAAATTTCTATAAGTTTTTGTTGCAACAGATATTTTCAGATAGATCAAATTATCTCTTATTGCAATCAAAGCCAAAGTTATCTCATCAAATTCACTAATCTTCAACAAATTATATGAATATTTTGACACAGCTCCCAATATTAGTATCTTTGGTTGTTCCTACTGAGGCTCAGTCAGAAAAGATTCGTTTTTGTTGGGCCCAGAAAAGTCAAGGGAAAAAGATTCATGAGGTCTGGGCTATAGACTCTGTTGTGCTGTTACCATGGCTACCATCCAACACTACTCATGTTTTTCAAATGAAAATAAATCTCGAGTGTGGAAAGAATTTTTCTGATAACAGGTTAGATAACTAATGTTACATTATCATGATAAGTTATTTTATGTTACTTAATTTTAAAATTTTGTATTGAAAAGACAATCTGGGTGATAAATGAATTTGTTACTATATAGAGGTTGAGTACGTTATATAAAAATGATTTTGGAGCCTCAACATTTCCTTACAGCCCATGTCACCAGGCCTGGTCATGCTCTATCTGATGACTGTGCATCTTGGCAATAGCCCTACAGCATAGCTTTTATTGCAAGTAGCTCTGCTGTAAGGCTAACATGCTCAAAGCATTCCCCTCCTTCCTATAGCTTTCTATAATTGATCTAGCATATGAGGATGCTGGTTTCCCAGTGTTTATTTATTAGTCTGATCACACAGAAATCCATAGGTGCTCTGTCCAGTGAATTGATTTGTATGTTTTTGTATGAAATAGCATGAATACACATTTGATTCTCCAGCTTTGTGATTATGTTGCTTTCGCTTGATGAAGATCATTCTTGAATATGTTGTGTTCTGTTGTCTGGGACACATAGATGTCTTTTGTCACTGATCTTATAGTGGATGTCTGTGACTTGTTGGTGATAAATTTCAACAATAAACGGACAGCACACAATCCACTTATTTTAGAATAATATATTCAAAACAAGTCACAGACACCTACTCTAAAGAATCCGGCCCTATAAAACCAGATATTTGGTAAGCCAGCCAGGATTATACAGTGGTAAATGGCAGTAGAAGAAGACCTATATATGCACAACTGTAGTGGTAGCGAAAATAGTGTAGAGATTACAATAATGCTATATAACCATGTCGACTGATTTTGATAAATGTATAGAGAGAGGTGAGTGACTTGGGCTAAAAGATGGTGATATACAAGAGTTATTAAACAACAAAAAGAACTAGAGAGGGGAGGAGAGACAAAGAAGAGAGGAGGAAAGACTAAAAGAAGAATATGGAATAAAAAGACTGAAAAGAAAAAGAGAGAAAGGAGAGACTAGAATTAGAGAGAATAAGAGAAAGAAGAAAAGGAGAGAGAGGAGAGACTGGAAATAGAGATAATAAAAGAACAAACTGAAATTGTCAAGCTCACCCAACAGAAAGATGAAGGACCTAAGAATGATAATGGGGGCAGGGCCAGTTGACCCAAGCTACCCAAATTTGATGAACAGAAAGATGTCATGGATGCTTTCCTGGAAAGGTTTGAAAGATTTGCCCAAAGTCAGAACTGGGACAAAGGTGACTGGGCAGTCTTTCTCAGCTCACTTTTCATAGGAAAAGGCCTACAAGTTTATGCAGGCAAGATGTCAGAAGATGTCATGGACTATAACAAGTTAAAAGTGGCTTTGCTGAAATGCTATGAACTTACCAAGGAAGGTTTTCACCAGAAATTCAGAGAAATCAAACCTGACACTGGAGAAACTGTATTTCAGTTTGTGGCACATCTGTAGAGATACTTTACAAGATGGACTGACATGACATGGCCAAGTGTGAAAATGGTTTTGAGGGGCTAGCAGATGTACTACTAAGTGAACAGTTCATGATCAGATGCTCCACTGGCAAATCACTGTTTCTAAAGGAGAAAGCACCACAAAAGACGTGGATGAGATGAGCAAACTGGCAGAACAGTATATGGAAGCCCATGGAGGGAGTATAACTGGCAAGTCTGAGAATAACCAGTTAAAGTTGAAACCAAGGGTTGCTGACCAAAAACAGGATATCACCAAAGGTGACAAGATCTCAATGGACAAAAGGGAGAAGAGATGCTATATTTGTTATAAAATGGGACACATTGCAAATGAGTGCAAACTTGTCACCAACAAGCAACAACAGAAATTTCGACATAAAGCAGCTGGAGCTACCTACAACAATGGTGCTGACAAGAAACAAGAAAAAAGTGACTATCACCATGGATGCTGCTGATAGAAGAAAGAGAATAGAGACTCGTCAGACTCACCACAAGAAGGAAGTGCTATTTCCATGATTAGATAGTGCACAACTGATGGTCAGCTCAAGTTAACAAATGGATCAACAGTGCTAATAGTCATTGGAGCATGTGACAAACATTGGAAGGTGCCAACAAATCACAACATGCCAGTAGGTGAATGCTATGTCAGGGACAAGAAAGTGAAAGTCTTACGAGACACTGGGTGTAGTAGTACAGCAGTGAGAACCATCCTGTGTGGACTTTTGATCTAAAAGAGAATTATTTAAAGCTCTGGATACAATTGTGGTAACCCATGGGGTAATGTAAGTGAATTTGTCAAGGATTGTATTGTGATAACAGAGTAGAGAATAATAATTTTTCTTGTTAATTCAGTTCTAAAGTAACTGAACCAGCCTGTGTGAATTCAACTGTGATTAACTGTGTAATGAACATATGTTTGACTGGTTTCAATATATCATTTTAAAACAAGTAGAATGTATGCTGTTTGTTTATCATTGAAATTTATTGCCAACAAGTCACATACACCTACTATAAAGAATTGGGGTCCTATTAAACTTGACAATGGATTCTTGCCTGTTACAAGATGCTACATCTTGCTTTCCATGGCTGGGACGGTAAGAATTGTTGCAGTTCTCTTTCTGAAGGGTCCTGGTATCTCTAGTTGATCCATATTTTTGACATTGAGAACAATGGATATCACTGTCTTAGAAATTCTAGATCCTCAATCTGGACACATCTTTATTATCTGAATGTACGAATATTTTGTGTCGTGGAGGGATTTTCCATTCCTTTCCCAAAAGTGATCAGTTTTCAGTGGTATCACACTATCAATTAAATGCTTAACAGTGTCAGAATTTATTTCTGGTACACGCCATTTCACTTTGACTTTGTATTAGTTGTGTTTGTCACATGACTTTTGATTTGCATATTCAGGGGGGGGAGTAGCGTTTCGTAATGGAAACTATGCTGCAGGGCTATTATTAAGATGTATTTTTGTCAGAGAGAGCATGATGTATGTGCCAACATGAGCTGTAACAATGTGATGAGTTCACTTTAATACAAAAACTACCACTTTAGCTTGTTAATATTGTTAATACCCAAAAAACCCTTTCACCACTGGTTGGGTGTTAAGAAAATTTTAATAGCTAATCATCTGATGATTATTTTGTATTTTCCTGTGTATGAAATCTGCTGGGTAGTTAATGGACTCTACTAACTTGTTTAATGAAAGAAAAAAAGGGAGTTGTATTGAAATTCATTTTTTTCAAATGAATTTACCAAATTACCAAATGTCTTTAATTGCCTAAAAAGGAATGATTAGTGAGTTATAGATTGAACATATCCATGTAAACCCATTTGCAGTAATCTGAGTTGTACATGTAAAATTGGTTTTACTTTTAGTTCTCAGGCAAATTCACTTGTCCAAGGATGAATTTGTTAGATGTAAGAATAACTAATCATAAAGAAAGTTAAGTCTCTCCAAATCAAGTGAATCCTCCATGGAAATTACATGATATTTGCCAGATAAATTTACTTACTTAAAAGAGCTGGGAGAGATTAAATTGGGTTAAATACCATTTTAGTCACATCTAGATACTGGATAGGCATTACAAAAGTAACCATGCCTGAAACTTACTTTATATTGATTACAAGGCCAATTGTAGCACCAGAAAAGAAACTAATATAAAATATACGTATGTTATTTCAGTAAAACCTGCTTTTGGAATTGTAGGATAAATATTTCTGATTTTAGAGAATTATCTTTGGTTCTGAACCAGTTTTTTCTAAGAATCGAGATGCTGGTTGTTATAAGATTTCATTGTAGCAAAAGTTTGATTTTATTGTTACAGAGTTCCACTAATTGCAGGATTAATCAAGAATTGTCAGTCATTTACTGAATCTTTTAAAGGCTCTAATTACGAATAGATATATGTCTGTAGAGTTTATGATGAGGACAGAGAGAGAGAATAAGATTTTTGAAAACAAAAAATTCTGTATGCATTGACCAGCAGTTTTTACATACTCATGCATGCACTTATCTATTCCTGGAAAATACCAATTTGTCAGTGGTGCCAATTTCAATATGTCTCTGTAAAAATATAGGCACATTAAAAAAAATACAAGTACAGAAGTTAAAGTGAAAAATGATTTTTTCAAAATGGGCATATCCCACATGTTTTTATGTATATGTATGGGATCTGTAAAAAAGTATCTTTGTACCAAATCCTGTGTGAATTGGCCAAAATATAGCAGAGTAATTATCAAAAAATCTTAAAATTATGCTTTTTGTGGCATCTTAACCCCTCTATAACTACTAAAAATGGGCAAGTCCACCATTTTTGTTTGTCAATGTGTGGGACCTGTAAAAAAGTATCTTTGTTCCAAATCACATGTAAATTGGTCAAAATATAGCCAAAAAATTGACCAAAACCCCCAACATTATGCTTTTTTGTGAGTCTTACCCCCCTTAAAAGACTCAAAATGGGAAAATTCTTTTTTTTGTATGTTGATGTATTGAGTGTAATGAAAATTTATACTTATGCATTTTTCATTTCAATTGCTGTAAATATGATGGCACAGGAGCCAAAAATATACATTTTTGGGTTGTTTTACCTTTGCCTCCATAAAATTCTTAAAATGGCTTAAACCAAAAAAAAAGAAAAAGGTGTCTTAACATATTATACCAAGGTATAACCTTACCAAGTTTCAAGTCAATCCAATGAGAAATGGCAAGAAGAAAAAGAAAGAAAGAAAGAAGAAGAAACAACAGCAAAACAGTATGTTTCTCTGCGGATAAATAATAAAGCATTTGTTACTAACACAGAGTACATGCTAAACACAGTCTTATATATTTTTGAACATGTTGAAAATATAAAGAATTTCATTAATTTCTGTGTAGACAAACAAAACATTTGGATATTTACATGTTATAGATTTTTGTAATATAAAAATAGTGCTTTATATTTGGTATGAGCTATTTTTCTGAAATATTTTTGTTCATTCTCAAACTTTTAATAATATTTTTTTTATCAGTTGTTAAATATTTTTGAGTTTAAATATATATGAGCAGCTTTCTTTGTATAGTTGCTTAGTGATACATAAGATATGAGTTTATGAACCTGTACTTATAACAGCATACTTTTTTGTAAATTGTATACATTAAAACATATTTCATTTAAAACTAAATTTCATATTACAAAATAATAACATAACAGAAAGTATGAGTATGGAAATAACAATTCAGTTCATACTCATGTCATGTTTATGTAATAGTATAGTGATAAATAATTGTAGATATATTCTTTTGACCACAATATTTATTCTTCTTCATAAACTGATCAAGTGAAGAAGAGTTGGTTAAAAGTTTCATATATTGACATTTTGTAAGAAAGCTTAGGTGCTATATAAACTGCACAAGATATTATTGTATTTAAACCAGATAAAAGAACAAGAGCAGGCAAACAAAAAATAGCAATTCTTGAAGGGAATAACTTGTTAAAATACACATGAAGAGAAGTTGATGGTCAGATAAACTGGCTCCATTTAACAATTGAATATGCTAACTCTTCTCCTTTAGAGGTAATATTATTATTTGCATGCTGTTTCAACCATCTTTTACTAATTTAAACTTTCTAGTTTTACAGGATTATTTACTAACCTGCACACTCTGCTTGAAGTGTAACAACTTGTCTAAAGTGTAATAATATATATATATATATATATGCATGTATGTATGTGTGTGTGTGCACATACACAATACATTTTTCATTTTGCCTGACAGAATATGTTTGTATTTCAAGTGTTTCAGTTGAATTTACGAATGACCATGGACATTTATGGCACCCAATCCATGAATACTGTCTTCAGCCAAGCTGTACTGGGGCTCACTCTGCCATCAAATCTCATTTTATAACTTCTGAACTGTTGGGGTAAGTTATGTGTTTCTTTAGAGATTAGTCATTTTTGTTGAAATAGTGTTTACTTTTGATACACTTGAGGTAGAAGGAAATAGTAGATCTCAAATATTTAACCAAGAAAAGATAGTTAATAGGCCTGTGCAAGAATTTTAAAAATTCATAAGCATGATCAGTGGAAGTGGGTACATATATTTTTGGAGTAAGACATCTCAGTTTGTGTAATGATAGTTACCCGAACTCAGGAGACAGTTACTGTATTATTGAGATAAGACACTGTATATGACCTATGTTTATAATCCATTTTATGAAGAAAAACAAAGAATGTTTAATTTTATGCTTAAATATTTTTTTATTTTAAACTATAATATGCTATTCATTAAGTTGACTTTCATATATTTTAATACAACAAGATTTTAAGCAAAAGTAATATTCATAAGAATAACTTGACATATTTTTGAATATGACCTTTTAGTGTACACATTAAAACCTCAGTAAAAGTTAATAACATTCATTATATTAAACGTTTTTTAAACAGTAAACCTTATTAAGAAATCCTTAATAATAAAATTGTTTATAATTTTTTTTGTAAATTTCAATCACACTTGCAGTTGGGAGTCAGAAGGTATTAGAAAAAAAGTGTTATTTAACATAAAGTAACATAATATTTTGGGACAATATGGGACCTATTGGTCCATCTCAGCTGTTCCATCCTCAAAACTAAAGTAAATTATTAAAAATAATAATAGTAATAATATTTTAAACCCAACCCTTTTCATTCATATACTTATCAAGCTTTTTCTTAAATTCACTTAAATTTACTGCCTCTACAACACCTGAAGGCAACCCATTCCAAAGGCCAACCACCCTGTTAGAAAAATAAAACTGTCTTAGCTAAGATGACTCCTACCTTGCCAAAATTTATATTTGTGTCCCCTAGTCCTATTATTCTCATTGTTAAATATAAAAAAAAAGATGATACATCAACACTATTAATTCTCTCTATAACCTTAAACACCTCAATCAGATCCCCCCTAAATCTTCTTTTTTCAAGAGAAAACAATTTGAGAGATTTCAGCCTCTCTTTGTATGACAACCCCTCCATCCTAGGCACCATTCTAGTAACCCTTCTCTGAACCCTTTCCAACCATTCAATGTCTTTCCTAAGGTAAGGAGCTCAAGATTGAATACAATATTCCAAATGTGGCCTAACCAGTGACCTGTACAATGAAATTATAATCTCTTTGAGACTTGTATTCAATATTTCTGTAGATACAATCTAAAATCCTATTTGCCCTACCACTAGCAACAGCAAACTGCTTGGATGGCTTTAGAGACTGATCAACTATTACACCAAGATCCCTTTCCTTTATAACACTATTAAGGTTATTCCCATCCAAATTATACTTATAATTCAAATCATGCAATCATTATAGTTAAAACCTGTCTGCCATTTCTTTGCCCAACTCAATAAATTATCTAAATCCTTTTGTAAATCAGCAGCATCCTCTTCACAGCTAACAACACCAAAGACCTTAATATCATCTGCAAATTTAAGTAATTTATTGACTCCCCCTTCATCTATGTCATTGATGTAAATTAAAAAGAGCAAAGGTCCTAAGACTGAGCCCTGAGGTACCCCACTCGTGACATTAATCCAGTTTGACTGAACTTCATTTGTAACAACCATCTGCATTCTTCCATCCAGCCACTCTTCTATCCACTCTTCTAACTTATCCAGATACACCAAATCTACACCCTTACCCTCATCTACATAAACAGTAACCTTTGGGTCTA